ACGCAAAAGATTCACGCATCGGACGTAAATTCGAGGTAATTTGTCTGAATCCAGTCTAAATAGGCGTCACGTGTAACGCGTATGATTTACAGATATAAGTAAATTCGAATTTATTCATCATTACGACAGAATGTTTCTACGCATACACAGTATTATGTTTTTTGTTTTTAACGAAGCAATAATAATAATTTTAGAAGACTTTTCTTAACTAATGTCTCATAAAGACGCATGTAATTATTTGGCAATTTCTTGGTCATCAACTCATCGATTCATTTCCAACTTAAAAGTATCAGACCTGTCTTTTCAGGAATCAATAAATGCAAACCCTGCTAAACTAAAAACAAATTTTGACAAATGTCGTACAATTGAAAATTTCATCGTGAATTCAAACATTATGTTCAGTGATGTACAAAATACAGTTTTATGTTGAGCGTACATGTACACAAGTACAAGTACTATATGTATACGTCAACTACGGATGTTTATCAAATTTCATGCTTCTATAAAGTTCTCATAAAGTGATTGAGTCGGTGCATATGAAATGTAGCTGGTATATTTTATTTAACTGTAAACGAGTTTTATCAGTCAAAGTGATTAATCATTAATATTAAAAACATGAATTTTTGTGAATACATTTTTTAATTTCAAATACACACTTAGAAGACAGTGTAAACCCGTTCGCATTAAACAGTTAAACGCGCCTTGAAGTAGTTACATCATGGATAAGCAGTTCATGATTGGCTTGTATCACCGACACTTGTCACTTGTAGGCAGTTCTGTTTAGATTATTTTACGTTTAGTCATGTGAGCTTGTCGTTGCGTGCGGAATGTTTCGTTTACGTATGTAAATGGGTTAATTGTAGTCTTTATGCTGAATGATCTTTGTTAAAATATATTTCCTATGAGAATCTTGTATGAACTTTACCTTTAATTTTCACTTAAAATGTTCTAGTATAAATACACTCAATACAGCATTGTCTGCTTTAAGGTATTCGAAGTTATCTTTAATTAATTCTTCTGCCAAAAGAAATAGAGTCCGTAAGAAATACAGAGCAGACTCTGACTCAATTGATCTTTCTTAAAGAAATTAAGACATTTTTTCAGTTTGTCTCTTTATACATAATATGTTTAAGGAAGATTTATGATTTTTTATGTTAAAAAAATACAAGACTAAAGAAACTATAAATACTAAAGTAATTGACAAACTGACTTGAACTTTTATACACATGTACTACATATACAGGCTGTTTAGCGAAAGTGTCGTCACGAATTCGCTGAGCAGAAATAGGGACATTTCACATGTCATTAAATGAGCTATTATTAAGTTAAAATGTTTTTAAAATCACTTTTATTTAAATTTAATTATAAAGGAAGGTTTAAATAGTAGATCTAATAAGTTTTTATGTCGATTGTTGCATAAATAAATAATAAAAATCAATTTCTGCGATAGCGGATCTCTTACAAGATTAAAAATAGGGACATTGACCTTATTTTTTTTGTAACATTCATAATCGTTGGATTTGTTATGATTCGTTTTAATACAAAATATTTGAGATATGCTACAGTCTCATTTAACAAAAAAAGGGTAATATCCACATCTCTGAAAAAAATTCAGGTGAAGAAACTCTGATTGACGAAAGTAACGCACACTTAAATATGGTTTAACTTCTGTCCACTTAACACAATTTTTTGTTAAATTCAAGGATAGTCATGGAATTTCATGGCGACTCTTACGTAGGTACCGTCCGTACCAAAATTACAAAAATATATGTAATACTGTTGACATAATAATAAAATAAAATTAAAAAATCAGTTAAAAAATTGGTATTTGCGTCGAGACTCGTAACATTTTTTAACGTTGAATTTTTGTTTAATATGAATTTCTTGAATTTACAAATTTTCCTTAAAACTGTATAAATGTATGGACCGGGTCGCAGATAGAAATGCATTTACGGTTTTAAAAAAAGAATAATCATAAAAGTTGATGATTTTTCTATATTAAAAGAAACGAATACTCATTTAACAACGATTTGGTTGATCACAGTTACTAATCACCATTCATGAAAGCGTAAAAAAACATACAGATTAGTGGAAACCATCATTTCATATGGACCGACCAAACAAATAGTAACTTCTCCATAAATTATTCCATTAACTAAAACAGAAAATACTGTGTTAAATTTGATTATTTGCGTTCTCGTAAGTATCATCCACTACAAACGCATAAAATTCGCAGTTTAATGTTAAATGCACTTCAACAATAGTGTTAGTAATCACAGACTATCGAGTATTGTAATATGGCACTGAAATATGTAAATGCATATTTTATAATGACTAGATTATAACTTTATGTAAACTCTGTAGAGTAATTTACAAAAGTAGGAATTCCACAAAAATTTGCTTATTCTATCATATACTGAAAATGTTATCAAACTTGATTGTAGTTGTTACTTCATTACATTTTACATATTCAAGAATCATATAAAATTCAGTACAGCAAGAAATTCAATAAAGTGTACTGAGCGTTTGTTACTTTCATTCGAATCTGATAGAACTCTGAATAGAGCGAACTAATTCATATTTGATTCTAGTTCTTGTGAATTAGTTCATAGAAATTTATATTTACATAAACATCCGTAGTCTAATAATGACTAAATGAATTTAATATCGATGTCTAAACAAGAATGAGAATTAAGTAACAGGTTTCTTCGAGCTCTAATCACGGTCATAAAAAGGTTACGCTATCCTCTTTTCACGCGGAATTTGTACAATGAAGCTTCCATGTTTGGGAAAAAATAAGTGAGTAACTTTCAAAATAGATGTTCGATTTCTCAAGCATAAATTATGCGAAGGCGCCTATAAATTCTGGTGTCGTAATGACTTCTCGCAACGAAGCTCTATCATTCTCAATAAGTATTCAAATTTCTAAATTACATTAATTCTATGTGATGTTTCCGACTTAATCACGACTTATTCGGTAATATACATCTACTATACCGTGGAGGTTTATACAAATATCCACTTTCACAAGGTAGTTTATAAAACCGGACATTACAGGAAATGTTTTGCAGCAACTAATGGGTTTATCAAGTTACGAAATGTATTGAAAATTGCAAAACACATTAAAACGAAAGCTTAAATAAAATTTTTCTTCGATTCTAGTTCTCATGAAATGAGAATATCTATAAACATCCCCGCGGTCTATGCGTTACTTTGTATGTTCTCCTTCTGTTGAAGTAAAGGCGTTTGAATTCGCATCGAAAAGCCAATGACTAGCTACGCTACCTGCATTTTCATACCTATATGAGTATATTTATGCTATATGCGAGGAATTGTGTTAGAAAATTGAATGAAGTTGGTGTTTCCTGTTACTCGGCCGCTCATACACGGTTTGGAAAATTTATTGACATCACACTTCGGTGTTAAATTACTTTCGTGCAGCTTTCAACCACGAAGAAATAATCTCTCTGTAATATAAGTAATCATTAAAATGAATCAATTAATAAATTACTTTCCATTAAATGTGAAAATCTTACCGACGTGTTTTTCAGTGATAAATCTTCTTATCAGCCTGGACTTCTTATTTCTCTGAATTTATACAATTTTTTTTCGATAGACTGAAAAATCAACATGTTTGTTAAATTGCAAAATTGTCAATTATATATAGTGTGTAAAAAAAACTCAATTTTCAAAACCATGAGTGAAGAAGAATCTTGCTTCTTTTACTAATTTATTTCACTACAATGCAAAAAAAGATTGTTCAAGGTCCATAATGTGTCTTCATTCTTTATGATTTGAAGATTTATGTATACCAAACATGTATAAGATTCACGGTCTGATTACATTAACGATAAGCTCAAATGTTTCATTCCTTGAAAATGTTAATAATCTTACCTTCAGTATAAGAGTAACAAAGTGGAAGCATCAGAGCGCGATTACTTTTCTATCTACACAACTTTATGTACAAAAGTGCTTTTCACATTGACATATATTTTTTAAAAACTCCGATATTTTTATGAAAATTGAAATTTTTTCAAATTAGGTAATACAAAGAAGATCTAGCTGCGATTATGTTAAAATTAAATACTAATCGAAATCGCATAAAATTCCATATAATACTGCATAGTTTTACACAGGACACATAATGAACAGTAAAAAATTATTTATACGTAATCGTGCAAGTATTTCTACTTAGTAAAGTGTTTATTATATGCAGAATGCCCCAGGTCGGGTAGTACAATCGAACATGTGGTGATTCTATAAGAACAAATAAATCGAAAAAAAAAAAACAAGAAAATTTGTCTGAATGATGCTTCGTTTTCGAGATAATTGAACTTGAAGGACGTTGCTACCTGCTGACTTTGCGTCTGTTCTGCTAGCCGCCGTTTCTGCTTATTACCAACACAAATACAACACGCGTTTTAGATGAATGTTCTAAATCCAAGTTTTTCGAAAGCGAAACCACAAACGAAAAAAATTGGCTCCTTTTTTGACTTATTTTTTCTTGTAAAATCATCTCATACCCGGTTGTACTACCTGACTTGTGACACCCTACCCTGTATACATGTGTGTACGCACTTCAATAGGTAGAAATATATACACACAGAGTGTTACCGAAATGGTGGTATAACCTGGAAGAATGTAATTCTACATGCAAAAATAAGTCGAAAATGTGGAATATCATTTTTTTCGTACGATGCTTCGTTTCCAAGATAATCATTCTATAAAATTCACCCAACCCGCATGTGTGTATTTGAATGACGATAAGTAGAAATAGAATGCAATGAACAGACGCATTAGGCGAGTTCTAATTCAATTTCATTTTCTCGAAAACGGAACATCGTAAGAAAAACTGTTATTATACATTTTCGACTTATTTTTGCGTGTAGAATCGTATCATTTCCGAAACACCTTGTACATATGTATATTCCGGGTCGATAATCCGTTTTTACACTATTTACAATCGTTTAAATGTCACAGTTTTACAGAATAATATACAAAGTTGAAGCACTTCTTACAACAATGAGTCTTCTGGTATTGATCATCGACTAGTCTTTCTGCGTTTGCGCCTCGACTCACCGGACGGATTCCATTCGGGATCGACATCGGTGTAAGAATAATTTACTTTAGGAACGTTTCTCTTTGAGCTTCTGGTTTGCCGCGGTGACGACCGAGTTTTTTTCACTGTTTTCAACGTTTCCTGCTGCTGCTCTATCGATTCCGTGCCCAATCTCTTGAACGACGTGGTTCCGTTCGAAACATTCATTTCTTTCCTCTGCGCTGGGGTCTTGAATGATCTCCGAAGACAAGAATCTTGGCACACTGGATTCGGTTGATCGTTTACCGATCGGAATTTAAGTTCTAGCTTCTCGATGCTTTGATGGGCGCCGGAAACATGGATATCTTTGTAGTAATCCCTCCCCACCGAGTTTGAACTATAATGATAAACTGAACTATCATGATCTTTCTCCACCGGAGGCAATTCATGCTCGAATTTAACACGATTTTGTGTGCCGTTCAAAGTTTCTAAAGCAGCTATGGACATCATGGGCACCGCTGGATAATTATCCACCTTTTCAGCTTTAATCGACAGCTCCCCGTACGCCAAGGCGTGCGCCTTAAGCCTCTTCTTCAACGGTAGCATATTATCTGCGTCCTTTTTAAGCCGTTTCTCCGCAATCTCGAAGTTATCGAGTTTCTCGAGTGGGCCGGGCTGCGAATTCTCCACTTTCCGGTACAACTGATCATCGTATAATTTATCCATCGCTTCGCTTTTTTGTCTTTCATGTTCTTGAACGGCCGGGTTTTGTACTGGCATCGGAAGAAAGTATGGGCTGCCCTCGATGCAGGACACACGGCCCTCCGTGGCGGGGTGCATGTACTGTCGTCTATAACGTGCCACGAAGTCATATGTACAGTTCAGACAAGAACAATGTGATCTTTCGCAGGGGCCAGCTGTTTTAGCGTGAGGGTGAATAGGAGTATTCGTGTTGATCTGCAAACTGCAGGACATCGAGTTGCAATGTTTATGATATGGTATGCATAAGTCGGTGTTTCCATAGATCGAAGGCAGGGTTGTTGGAATGTGCAAGGGGTGCTGTGAAGCTGGAATGGTTAAGTGATTAGGGATACTGTTGAACTCCTGTTTGATGTTTTGTCTGCTGAACGGTAAACTCGACTTAAGCTTATCTATCGGTTTGCTTACAACATTCGCATCTTGATAAATTGACGAATTGATCATATCTGTAGGGATTGTTATCTTTTTGGAATACGACTTACTATCCGAGAAATTTTCTTCCAGTTCCATCTTGATTCCTTTGCCTTGGCCCACTGAACACTTGTTCTCCTGGTATGGCAATTCCTTGCTGTAGGCTGCTAACTCTGTATTATAGGGTACGTGATCCAAAGAAGCGACTGCTTCAAACTGTCCACAATCTTCGGTAGATGACACCCAGTTCTTCTCCTTTAGTCTACAAATTTCTTCATCGTTATGGTTCTTCGAGTTCTCCACTGCTTTGTTTATGATGTACAGGTTGCTGTTAGGTGATTTCTGTAATAAAACTACCGTCTCCCCGTTTAAGATAACATTTGTGTTCTCCTTAGCAGTTTGTGTGTTGTTTTCTATGGGCGCCAAATTGTGTATCGACGATTCAATATCGTATTTTACATTCGTTTTACCGTTATAGGTCTCTAGATCGTTAGATGTCACTTCTATGTGAAATGCTACCTTATTCAGTGCATCTTCAGGATAAATTCCAACAATTTTGTTGACCATTTCTGCTGATTGGTTTCTGAGTAATTGAGAAACGATGTTGGACGAATCGCTTCTCTCAGCTTCGTCGTCGGTAGTCTGACTACAACAGGCATACCTCAGCGAAGCGTAGTCCTTTACCTTAATCTGATCGCATTTTACCACAAACTCGGGTTTCAAGTGTGATACATGCTGCGAAACACTAGCCAACAGCGAGAGACCATCGATATTGTCCTGCAAATCAGAGTCTTGAACAACGAATTCGCTTTGAACAATGTTGCATACCCCTTTCACCTCCATTTTTTTATTACACAATTCATTAGACTCCCTTCTTGATGTTTCTTCCAACGTTAAATGGGATCCACTAGGAACAATCATCTTATCATTTGTCATACCGTCCACGGAGTTCCTAAAGTGTGCATTGTTTATGTCAATATTTTCATCCGGGCATGTTACGTTAACTTTATTAGAAATATTTTCCTTATCCGTAGAACAAGATCCGAAAATAGATTCTCTGATATCAACGATGCTCGGTTTAGCTTCGCGTACAGTTTCTAATTCTGTTTGCACGAGAAACTCATTATTTCCCGCATTGTCCACGTTTGTACATTTTGGTGACTTTATTTTAAATTTATCCCGCTTTAAAGCGTCTTCAATATCCTCCGTCATATTGGTACGAATCGTTTCATGTGATTCATCGTTTAATTCTTCTTCAACATTGATCGTGTAGTCAGTCGTAAAGGTTTCTTCATATATTATTGACGGTATAACCCTTCTACTTAGTCTATCGTTACTTACATTAAGATTAGAACAATTAACAGTACTATCTTTGGAATCGTACTGAGTACATATTGTAGTGTTATTTACACTCGGGTATTCTGTTTCTAAATCACAGACTGCTTTCAAACTTTCAACTCTTTTCTGTGCATCAAACTCAGAGAATGTGTCTGTTTCTGTCAGTCGCTTGATCACAGTTTGTTTTTTACTTCTATCGTCTACACCTTCATTGCTTTTAATTTTGAAAACTACATCCTCACTGCTAATGGAACACGAGGTCTCCTTAGTCAAAGAAACAGTCTCTCTTGAGAATAGTTTAGAGGTTGTTTCGTTAATGATTTCGATAAGAGTTGTCTTTTTCATATTTTCCGTCTCAATAATATTATCTGTGACACATATCAATTCGGACACATCGTGTAACTGATGACTGACTATCCTTGATGAATGTGTATCAATACTTTCTTGTTTATTTTTCTTGTTCCTAACTTTCTGTGATGCTTTCACGATCTTCGAGTCGATTCTCTTCTTAGCTTCTTCTAACCATGCCAGCTTCCTAGATTTTCTTCTCTTAACACACTTCTCGAATACTATATCAGTAGTCAAATCAATTATTACAATCTCATTGGACTTGTTACACTTCTTTCGCGAACGACCCTTATTCGAATTAATTGTTTTAGGCATAGCATGCTTTGTAGAAACGTTACTCGAAAAGGTTCCTAAACATTTAAAACTACTAGATTGCTCCAAATTTATAGATTTAAAAGTTTTCAGCAAAGAAATAGATTCATTTTGCTTATTTTTATCTGATATAATTGAATTTATGTTATATTCTATAGAATCTATATCTTTACAAGCAATATCTTCCGGCTGAGAATGAATGCAAATTTGATTAATATTGTCGTTACCAAATTGTTTTACCTTTATGTAAGTAATTTAAACATATATTTAATTATGTAAAGTTCTTCATGAGAGAAATAAATCTCAAATTTTTGTATTTATAGGTTTCATTTTATGAAAATATAAATTTGTAAGGTAATAAGTAGAGTTTATATATATTTTCATTACCTACATAAAGACAACTTTTTCTGGTAATTAATTTACCACGTTTCATACATTAAATTGTATCTTTTTTTATCATTAAGTGTGAAACAACTAGAACATATTCAACAAATACCGTTTGTAAATTAATCCTATTGGACGAATCAATGGCGGTTGCAGGTTCGTCCTTCTTCTGATACACATCACCTTTTTCTTTTTCTCCACAGTATCGTACAAAGAGTTCACAGTGTCTTTTAACGTCAAATTTCAGTTGTAATAGAGCTTTTACAGAATTTGGTTGACTCTTTGGCACTTTTGGCAGTACTTCTTCTAATATACATGGTGAAAACATGGATGGCACTGGCCCCAGAGACGCAAACGCAGTAGCAGTTATTTGATTTCTCACTATCATATCACCAGTAACTTTTCTCCATAAACGATAGACAAGAAAATATCGAACATACATGGTACTCGACTCTGGATGTGGAGGAATATTTTTCATAATTTTCCTGAAAAATAATGACATATACATAATAAGATGAAAAAATTCGATTAAACAAAATTTTAATAATAATAAGTGTAACAAAATAAATTGTCTATGTAACTTGAGCTTACAAGAATTTAAAAACCCACTTATTCGTTACTTACCGTATTATTGGATCTAAAATATGATGGTAATTACGACACATAAATTGTATTTTTATTAAAGTGTCTAATAAATATTGCGTGGAATGTTCTGAAAGAAATTTTCAGAATAGTATTAGCTTATATGCATAGTGTATATTTATTTTATAGATTTAACTGAAATTAATGAATCCACAGATGTCCATACCTAAATAAATGTAAAGGCAAGAAATTAGTCTCGCAGAGATATTCTTGTGTTCCTCTTTACTTTTCTTAGATGCTTTTAGTTCCATGTCTATATACAATGCCAATAAATCTGACATATTATTTAAATAAATAGATCTATTGCAATCCTAAAAGGTAAAATCTTATTAACATACGAATGAAGAAAGAGGTAGTTTCAGTTTCAGATTGAAAGTCACTTACCTCAGGAAGCTCACGATATATGTACATAAATAATAGTAATGTCTCACTAATAGAATCCTTCAATTTTGCAGCTCGTAAAGGCCTTGTGTAACATTCAGTTACACTCATACTTACATTTCTGTAAAAAAATTCTGGGCTAGAGCAATTGATAAATTATAAGTAGGTAATACAATTTTCTTTACTACCACAGTGCAAATTTTCTATTATATAATTAAATCATACCTTCCTCTATTTAGTTATAAAGCCTAATCTTGTCAATATCAAATAACCAGTATATGTATATTATTACTGACAAAATATATCAACATTACTAATGAAACTAAAAATTAGTTGAAATAAATCCTTCAACTAAAAAAATATTATTATACCTTATAATAACTTTATTCCATAGACAATTGTCATGTAAAAAATATGATTTTATTACGATATGCATTTGTAATAATCTCCTGATTTATAATTTTTGTTAATCATTCAGTAACATGCGATAACAATTTATAATATTCATTACATGATTAACTAAATACAAACGTAATGCCAATTACTTACTAATTCTATTCTACTTCAAAATATGTATACAATTATATTTTTTAATGCTACAAAATATAGCATTACCATCAATTAAAAATTTAGTAATATTCATTTCAAATATATTCTTTACATAAAAATTACTGGTCGATTTTTAGCTCTTAAATATACATATAAGGATACAGTAGAATATTTATGTAACTAAATTATCTATTTTCTATATACATAAATAATTCATTACATAAAATATGTATTTTCTCACCAGTACCCGATGATGATATTACTGGTGAACACAAAACAGAAATATTACAGGTATGTATCAGATTATAGACATTACCTTGCATAAAATTGCATAACTTCCATTAAAGATGCCATACTTTTTTCCATGTATATATGTCTGCACATTTTTCTAAATTCTATTATCCAAGGAAATAAATCAGTAATCGATGACTTTGTTTCATCATGGTTTAATTTGGGCCTATGATCGATATGAACCATTTCTTGTTTGTTATCTGTACATTAAAATATATTATGTAAAATTTCCAAGTATAGTCCCAAAAAAAAAAAACACTTCAAAGTAAATACAACTTCTTATTATGACAATTTATTGGTCAAAATATTCATCTTTTTAAGTAAGACATTTTGATTTCTGAAAACTTTATATTTATGCATGTACAAATATCCTTAAATTGCTGAGAGTTCTAGTATTAAAATGTTTTTTAATTCTGTATACAAAAATACAGATTTGCTAATAGTTTTAATTAAAACATATTAATTGAAAATTTTCAACAGAATAAACTGAAATGCCAGTAAGAGACCTACTCATATGGACAACTGGACCAGAGTATGTAAGTAAATTTTTCATAAATCATGTTCCATACATCAAAACCAAATCAGTTCTCATCTCTAAAGGTGTTTCATCAACACCCATCAAATAAATTAATATAACATTACATTCTTAGAATCTTATTATGCTAACCTTCTAACAAATGTACTAACATCTTTCCTATATTATAGCAACAATGACAAGTAAGTAAAAGGAAAGAAGATATAAAACACCCTTCAGCTAATAAAACATTGACAGAATAATATCCACTGCTTTACCTCTCAGGGAGGTAATATTCCATTTCTAAAATATAATACTCCTCTCTCATTTTCAAAGAAATTATTTTCACCCACCACTTAAATTTATGTCTTCAAACTACAATCAAACACATCAAATGTTTTAGAACTAAACTGTTGTTCTGTTAATACGTGCTGAACAAGAAATCAGTCAAATATTGAATAATGTGTTATGTTAGTAGTACATAACACAACTCTGAAACTTTCAATAAACAAACATTATTTCCTTAAATACATGCACGTTTTAAATTTTCTACTTTCACAAGTATTGACCCTTACCAGCCAAGTAAAGACAATTACATTAAATACAAAAATTAATCATTAATAATTAGCGTTACTTAAAATAAATTTGCTCAGGAGTCCGGTAGACACTAAATTTTTCATGAATTCCACCAAAAGCAAAGATGATTTTTCACCAAAAATAATCATATTGCTCATTTACATTTCCACGGTTTCAGTTGGTGATCGTCAGTCAAATAGGTACCAATGCTAATAACTGTAGCGGTAAATCGATCGAACGCGCGTCGAGGGGATGTGTGCTCCTCGCCATTAAATATTCGTAAATAGTCTACCGTGAGCACTTTAATGAACTGGATGGCACATACCTTGAGCTGAGGCGTTATCGGCCCGCATGTTGTTCACTTGTTGGAGACGATTCATTTTCTCTTGGGCTCGCGGCAAATTTCACTCCATAAAAATGTTTGTTTGCGTCGCGTCGTACTTCATAGTAAGGGATCAAGGAAACTATCGGTACCGTGTCTCTCCACATACTACGCTCTCCTCAACGGCCATATTAACACTGATAATTACAGGGGCCGCCGCAAGGGTGCGTATCCTACGCAACCCCCTTACCAAGCTTGCCCTGTTTCCGTCGATGCTCATATTCAACAGTGGCGGTAAATATGAACATATTGAGTTTTTGTTTTTCGATTTCAAACCGTTGAGATATTTGTATATTTATTTGTATCGAGGGTTATAGCTATTTCTTTTTATGTGAAACGTATGCACTCAGCATTGTTTCAAAGATTTCGGGGTGAATGGTTGATTTGTCAGCTTTTCTAGAGACTTGGCCAATCGAGGTCCATAAAATATCTTCCCCTCTTCAGGAGTCGGACCAATCAGGATCGAGCAATTAAGTAATTGCGAATATGTATACACACGCACGCGACTGTTTTTGTTGGACGTGGCTTTGGAATGTTGCGTGTGCGAGTATTTAACCACTTTGCGATAGTTGTATGTCATTTGTTGAAAATTAAGTCTTCTAAATAATTAAATATTTCGAATAAAGTTATTAGAATTATTGTTAAAGATACTTGTACGAAGATTTAAGTGACTTCCCAAGTAAATTGCACGAATACTCAGGGCCGTTTCTGGGTTGTTGGCCGCTCATGTGCGACAACAGTACCGCCGCCCTTCAATTAAGAATTTAATATGCAGTGTTATATATACACAACAAAACCGTAGTCAAATGCGGAAATAGATGGCTATGATTTTGTAGACAACATTTGTACTTTATTGTTAAGGCAACGCTAGATATCAACATAGTTAAGCAAGTTGACAGAAAGTCTTGCTACAACGTTTATGTCAAATTGACCGCAAAACCGGTACAAGGTTTGCGCTGCCTCAGCCCTTTAAATTTTATATGGACGTGCATATATTCGGGAACTAGCGACTATATGTGGTAGCACGATCACACTGTCATGGCGGTGGTAGAAAGTATAAACATATATTATACTATAAGAAAATAGATTTATTGCAGATTTTATAGTGCAATGAACACTAAACCTACCACGACTGGTTTTGCCGTACTAATTCCTATTTCCCTGCGGGGTTCAGTAGGATTAAGAATGAAATTAAGTCCTATGAGCAAACTAACGTCCGGTGCACGGCATCTGGTGTCATAGTCGGCCAGGCATAACGTCAGAATCATATACATCTGTCGCTGCATTCTGCATGTATATGCCGTCAGATTCACAGCATGAGACCAGTAACTCTGCTGTAGAACGTAACAGCAGATTAACTGCCGTGAACAGAGCAGTCTGCAATATAAGCTAATATCATAAATCCAGCAGGCCGTGTGCATAATGTCACCACAGATTGCTACAGATTAACGTTATAAATAGAGCAGTCTTACGGTATAACCTAGCGGGTTTTGGCAATTAAATATTTTTTAAATTAATGTTTACAATTTTTACAAAATAATACATATATAGGCTATATATGTTATTTATATTTTTATATGACGATTTCCCAAATGTTGTCATCTGACATTCTTGAGACATCACCCAATCATCCACTCTTTCTTCATTTTCATTCGTTCCCACATATATTTGAATATATGCATATATGAACTTGTAGTAATGATTACTGGCTGGTTCGGAGGCTATGAACAGAAAAACATGGAATTAAATATTCAAAATAGAGAATGAATATTTTTGTTAATTTTTTGAAGAAAGTGGCACTAAAAAGTGCTATTTGGTTTATTACGAACATGGAAAGGTACTTTCCATATGAATTGAAAAGTGAGCACTGAAAAGTGCTGTTATAGTTAGTGTGAACATAGAGAGATCATTCCCGTTTGAGTAAATTAAAAATGAGCACTGAAAAGTGCTGTTTGCTTTTTGCTATTTTAACTATTTTCAAGGATGTGACCGACTATCGACCACATGTTGGGACTTGTAGGTTATTGTCTATTGTCAAGAATATTCGCAAAGAAAATGCTTAAAAGAACCAAGCCATAAAGCGATTCGTACTCATGTTACTGTAAGTAATTGTGGAGAAAAGGACGGAGTTTCTATCTGAATGCTGCGCTTGACTTTCTAATGTTCCGACGCAGTCGGATTTTTCGATCGTGCACGTTTTCACATTATGACACTTAATTTACTTGAAATAAGGTAAACTGGATTTTCGAACAATAAAGCGCTTCTTTCAAAAATTTTGAAATACTCCCAATGCCTCTTCTAAATAACATACGGAAACAATAACGTATTCGGCGACGCGTACGATTGTACCTACTTACATACATATGTACTTTAAAGTACACACACAACAGGGATAGAGATATATGCATGCCAGTGTAGAAACAGAGTGGGACCTTTAAATGTTTTCGAACATTATGCATGACTATATAATTATTACACAAAATGTAAACATTTAGCAGTGTAATATTTACATATATATATATGTAGGATTCTCGAGGAATGGGGTGATTGATTTTAGACGCTTTACTTATTATATTGGTGTATTTTAGTTAATAGGTTAATAGGTTAATAGGTTTAAACGCTCGCTCTCTCAAAACGCACCGTGATGCACTTTCTTCCCGACCGACTGCGACTAACTGCCCCGTCGAACTTCCACGCCTCATATACATACTCTTTCACCCCCTTGCATTCGTCTCGCTTGCACTCTGTCTCTCGCATACATGGCTTACATTCGTAAAAACATACACTTCCCTATCGCTCAATTCTAAACACTCTTCGTTCACATCTTCCCAGTCACTCGAGTTTCCCAAACATACCGGCGCCGGTCCGTCGCAACATGATCCGGTCGCCTGCACGCACGC